GCGGCGGCGGGGCCGACACCGACCAGGTCCCACCGGCGGCAACCCCGCGGGGAGAGGCGCTGCCCACAGCGCCGCCGTAGGGGAAAAATCAGACTTCTCCAAGGATGAGGACGTAAGATAAGCAAATCCCTGTTTTTCCCCCTTAGAAGAACATTTTGCTCTCTGCTCAGAGTAACCTACTGCAGTTTTTGAATCTCAGAAGCAGTGCAGAGAGGTCCACCCGGGGGCCTCCGGGCAGCCACTCCCGGGCAGGATGCCTTTTCTCCTCCTGCGCTCTCCCCCATCACGTCTCTGCAGCCCTTCCTCCTGTTTGCCTTGATAACGTGCAATTCGGACACGCCTCCTTCCCCCCGGAGCAGGGCCCCATCGCCATCGCGTGTCTCCTGAGGCAGCTCTGGGCACCTCCCTGGGTCACAGCTTGACGAAGGCGGCCGGCTGGGTCTGCGGCTGCTCCGCGTCCGGGGGCGGGAAGACGCTGGCGATGGCAAGGTCCACGATGCCCTGGCACAGCTCCGCGTAAAGCTTCCTGAAATAGGTTCAGAGAGACCGTGTTGAGGATGCTTATCCAAGTGCAAGCGAAAAATCAAAGCTTTTTCCACCAGGATCTGCCTGGGAAACTCCACCGCACATTTACCAGACTGCTGTCCACTGTCGGTACAAACACGGAAGGGGGCACTACATGAAGATAAAGCCTCCACTTAATAATTACTTCTAGAAGGTCTTGCAGGTGAACAGACAACTCCTGCTCTGACCTGAACTGCAGGGAAGACAGGCAATTCCAACTGAGAATAGGGGCCTGCCTTTGAGGGGCAGACATGGAGGGGCAGGCTCTCCCCAGGGAAAGCTCCCAGGCAGTGCGGTTGAGGGGACTTTAAGAAAGATTCCCCAGACATAAAGAAGGAGGGCGAGATGAGATAGGGGAGAAAGGCAGGGAGGGAGAAGGGGGGAGAGTGGGGATGCGGGGGAGGGAGGGAGCAGCCCCACCGCAAAGAGAGAACTCGGGGCATGTCGGGAACTGGATCATCGTAGTGAGAGGCTGGAGGCAAGGCACGGCCTGATGCCTCGTGCAAGGGTCTGGACTTCAGCCAGAGGCCACGGGACCACCAAAGCAGAAAAGCGAGGCAGGAATCTCCCCAATCCAGTCTCTTCAGCGTAGCAGTGAGGCCCTCCATCTCCCCACCCACTCATTCCCTCAGGGCTTCTGCCCATTTCACAGGGCAGCTCTCTCAGGACTGGCTCTAACATAGGGGAAAACCAGACCACTGTGGTCCAGAGAGAAAACCCACATCTGAGATGATGCTCTGGGCCAGATGTGCACACTCAACTCACTCGAGATCCAGCTGGAAGGGCAGGAGCCCAGGCCAGCCCGACCTACAGGAACAGACGTCTTCAGTGCCCTGATTTCTGGAAGATGCTATATCCCAATCTCCACCAAACAGGAAAGTCTTCACAAAAGAATTCCCATCCCCCCGATGCAATGGCAAATCTCTGCCACCATCCTCCCCATCACAGACACCTTCTCTCCTACCCTGTTTCCTTTTTCAGCCCTTGAGGCTGGAGCTTCTATGTTCTAAGCCCTCGTAAGGCCCTCTGGGAAGAAAGCTCGTGCATCCGTGATCTGCTGTGGGAACTCCTAGCTGCCAGCTGGCCTTCATCTCTCCTGCTAGCCACTGCTCCCTCCTCTCTCCCCCTCCCCAGTTCCCCAGCCCCTGCCCTCTGTCCACACGAATTTAAGTCCCATTTTCAACAGTCCAGTGTGCCCACGCTACTCAGCTTCTCACTTCTGAAGGGATAGTGAGGCCTGTAAGGTAGCTGTTAAACTTGGCACTTGGCAAGTCACCATGAGCCACAATTGTTGAAACACACTGTGTTTGGTGTTTCGTGATGCTTGTCCTTAACCACCTGGGAAGGCATTTCCCAAAGAGAATTCTGGGGTTGGGTGGAGGGGAGGAGAGGACACAGCGTCCACTTGGCTGAGTCATCTCAATCCTCGGATTGCTGGTGTAGGACGTGCACCATATGCAGGCAAGAGTGTATCTGTGAACACCCTGCTCATTTCCATACAAGATGAGTCAGCCATATTTTAACATGAGCAAAACAATGGAAACTCTGGTTCACGAGACTTTTCTTTGACCACATCATCATGTCACCACCTCTGTCTACCCTCTTCCCCATCCGCCCTTAAGAAGCAGGCAGAAAGGCATTTGAAGTTTACTTCCTTCAGCACAAGAATGAGACCCACCTGCCTCTTGGTGTGGCCTGAGTCCCTTGGGGCTTTCCAAGCCACCTCACTGTGCGCTCCCATCCCAAGAGTCCTCCCCATTCAAAATCACGAACCAAAACCTAAACTCTTGTTTCTTTTCTATTACAGCAATTGTAACACAGCATGACAGTATAATTAACTGGACAGTGTCTGTCTCCCTCATCCAGCGGACTCCTTGACGACACTCATTTTCACATGTCCCCTAAAAACCCCGCTGCTCCCCCAGATCGTACTGCCCTCATGCGGACTCTGAGCAAAGGGAATCCAACAGACAGTGAGTGGCCGTGTGGGAGCTGGTGAGATGGAGCCCAAAGAAGTCGGTGAACGTTGATGCAGGGGTTTATCACTGGAGGCCTCCGTCGGGCTCCAGCATCGTGACCTGACCCTGCAAAGCACCTTAGTGATCAGGTGAGCTCCCACCAGGCGCATGGGCACTACTGACAGAGAAAAAAGTCCAAGTTGTTACTCGGCACTCTGACTAAACTAAGTAGTTGCTGCTTCTCCACCCTCCCGTGCCTGGGGATCCTTCAATCCTTACGCGGAATAAAAGAGGCAGATTCACCTTTTCCAATTCAGAGACTGGAGGTCTACCCTGGAGCCAAAGCCCTTAGGGCCAACAGTAAATAAAGGGTCCAATCTCTCCTGGAAGTGTTCCGGGCTATCTGGAGACTGGCCTGGGATAATCTATGCTTGGAATCAAAGAGCTATCCTGCAGAAAAGTGCTTAGCGAACATCTGATAGGCTTCAGGAATAAACGGAAACAGAATCACTTCCCCCACCACAAGACAGTGAAATTATTTTATTCCTTTCTTACATCGTATACGTGGAGGCCTGACTGCACTTTATATTCTGGTCTCTCCACCGCCGTGGAGATGTAGTGGCATCCCCGTCTTTAAACACTTGAAGCTGCCACGTAAACACTCTCAGAGCTCTTTAGAGTAAGTAGACCGAAACTCCCTGCTCCTGAAACCCCCATCTTGGCTGATAAATCCGATGCACTGAAGCACCAATGTCACTAGGGCGCATCAGGAAGATAGAACGATGTCTCTACTGAAATAAAACCCAGCAGTTACTGAGTCAGGAGAGTAAAAGTGTTAACCATCAACGCACACTTTGTCCCTCCAATTAATATTTATGGGGTAGGATGTGCCCAGCACTGTGTTTAGTACTGGGACTGAAAGGAAAAAACAAACAAACAAACAAGGCTACTGCCCTCGCGGTGCACACATCCTGGGAAGAAAATAAAAACGAGTTGATTTGATGGCAATTAGCGTAATGAAGTGAACGACCAAGGCTCCGGCTGGAGAAAATCAAGCATGAGGTTGTTCAGGGAAGGCTGCCTGGAGATGCCATTCTGACAGAGCAGCAGCCAGCCATGATGAGCCTGGGCCAGGGGCGGGTACAAGACCCCACAGCAGGTAAGAGTCATCAGGAGAATTGTGCTTGGGATGAGGTTGGAGACAGGGGCGAGGCAGCAGCCTTGCAGGCGGAGGGGAGCCTGGCTTTTATCCCAGGTGCAACAGGGAGGCTAGAAAACAACATGGTTTCCATTGACCACTCTGGCTGCTCTGGGGAGAACGGACTTTCCTGGGGCAAGAGCAGAGGGCGAGATCCCAGCGAGGAGGCTCTCTGCAAAAGCAGAGATGTTCTTCTGCGGAAGAGGAAGGGAGTCGGGAGCGGAGGACTGAAGAGGCTGGTGGCAGAACCCACGCGGCCCCGAAGGACAGAACCTAAGGGTAATGGAAAGGGGGAGGCAGGATCTCTGTCAGGCTTCTGGCTTAGGACCTGGAAAGAGAGGACCTGGACATTCACTGTGATGGGCAACTCTGGGGGTGGAGTGCCTGTCAGACATCCACAGACATCCTTGCAGGACGCTGGGAAGACAGGTGCAGATACTGGCCTGGAACTGTGGGCTGCAATGCAACTGGGTAATTTTAAAGTCATAGTGTGCAATATGGACTCAGCTGGGGACCTTGAAAGAACAGTTTCTGCGGGGTGGGTGGGATGGAAGCCAGCCTGGAATGGACCAGAGCGTGACTGGGAATTGAGGAAGAGGAGACCGCTTGTGCAGGTGTGGCTTTCCGGAAGTGTGGCTGGGAAGGGAACAGGGAGGGAGTGCTCACCAGAGCAGGATGTGGCTTTTTTAATAATTGGGAAAATCTGCTGGGTACCACCCGCTGATATGAACTGTGCAGCAAAGAGGGAGAAAGTAGGTGAGGAAGGCAAGAGGACAGGGGAAGGGAGGGGAGGGAGGGGACTGGGTCCAGAGAGCAGGGGACAAACCTTTGGTAGGAAGGACAGGAGAAGACAGGCACCCCCTGTAGATGTGGTCAGGGAGAATGTGAAACATCCCACTCTCCTCCATCCCTGGCCTGCTTAACTCACCTTCCTCCTTCAGATCTCAGTTTCAAGCACCACCTCCCAAGGGGACCTTTGGCTCAATTGTATCACCTTCTGACAACTTTTACTCTATGAAAGTGCTTGTCCCAGCTTGCAATCTACATTTGTTTTATCATTTGTCCACTAAGGGCGGGGCCTGTGTCTCTTTGCTCACGACTGTGACCTGGAGCTCAGTCTGGGGGCTGGCGGGTTAGGGGTACTGAATAGGTACTCGTTAGCTATAGACACTGACAAAGGAGGTGGAATCTGGTGGAATCCACTGATGAAGGATGCTCATGGCTGTGACCTGCCATGTCACAGCCCTGGAGCAAGAGGCAAAGGCTTGGCTCCCAAGGAAAGAGCAAGTCATGTGTTAACACTGCCCCCTGCAGGTGTGGGCCTTTCTCCGACCCAGTTGGAAGATCATCTCAATTTCTCCAAGATGTGGACGTGGGGAACCATGAAAGGGTCTTAACACCGATGAATGTGGTTCTTGAGAAGAACCAACAGTCTTTGAGGATTAAGTTGCAGTGACTCCCTTCCATGTAAGGCCTTCCACAGTGTGGACCAAACTCGCCTTTCCAACTCCATCTCTCCTTACTCCACAGCACACCACGCTGCAGCCTGCAGGCAGGTTCTGGCCACCTGTGCATCCCCTACAAAGCCTGGCACAGAGGAAGGTCCCAATGGACGTGGGGGTCCCCGCCCCCTTGGCTCACGTGATGCTCTCCTCTTACACCCCAGCTTCAGCTCCACCGTGTCTGTATCTTCTCACACCACCTCCTGCCCACGGAGCTCCTGAGCTTCTTGGCCGTCACTGACTCCGCGACCGACAGGACCCTGCTGACTCCTTCCCTTGTCTCACGAGAGGGTCTCCCTGATATTGTTAGGTTTGTTTGAAATTCTCACGGCATCGACCAGCCATCTGAGCACAAACTAAATGTGTAACACATACGGGTAGGAAGTGGGAGAGGAAATGACTCAGCAGCGCCCCCTGTTGGCCAGGGTCCTCCCAAAGTGCTCCCGTTGGCAGGTTGCTGGTACATCCTGATGGCACTCAGAGCCTAGGCTTGGACACCTGGCAGGCAGGAGCTCGCCACCTTGCCAAGACAGGCTATTCCAACTGTGGAACTGACCCCCCACCCTGTGAAAACACAGTGGCGTTCAGGCTTACTGAGCACAAGCAGGGGCGCCGTTGACTTCGATGAGCCAGACCTTCAGCTCCTCATCCACCATGAAGTCGAAGCCGAAGAGCTGGAAGCTCTGGTAAGGGAGGTGCTTGGTGCTGATGGCGGGCTCCACGCTCAGGAGGCAGCTCCTGCGGGGCAGAGGGGGAGAGCTCGCTGAGAACGGGGTGGGCCAGGGAGAAGGCCCACGGAGATGCGCTTGGATGATTTTACATCATTTACATCAAATGTGCCGATGAAAAATTAGCTTCACTTAATTCTCTCTTTTAAACGTATTACCAACGGATTACTCAAAACGATGCTACTTACTTGTTCGAAAATTCTGCAATCACTCTTGTTCCTACAAGTAGAGGCTGCTTTCCCAGCACAACACTGAGTCACCACGATCCCTGTGAATGTGGATTCCTCCAACAGGTGGGCTATGCCACATTTCCATGTATTTTTGTCATATTAAAAAAAAAATGGACCACCACTTGAGTGATGAGCAGAATTTGCAAAAAAAAAAAAAAAAGAATTTGCAACAAATCCCCTTCACTTCTTTCACTAACTCCAGTTTTAATGTCAAATTGTTGCTTTTAATTAAAAGCTTTATATGTTGAAATGAGATATTGAAATATAGAATAGAATTATTCTTAGGATTGACTACTGTTGGCAAAAACTGGAGGACTTTGGTGACACAGTAAAGGTGACAGCTGTCCTTCACCACAGCTGTATATTTAGAAGGAAACAGGTATGTCCTTCTAAGTAAGTCCTGGCTCATGACTTTAAAGAACTGAGGCTGCATTCCAACTGTGAACTTGGAGCCACAGTCTTGCTCTCCCAACCTCCCTCCACCAGTCCCCCACCCCCTCCTTTTCCCCAAAGAGGAAACATTTTCTACAGATGTGTTTAAACCTTTAAAAATAATTTTAGGCAGTCAGCCACTTAAGAACCAATTAGAATAAAAGTTTCTTTTCCCTGTTCATCTTTAACCTGCAAGCCACAGATCACACAGTTTTTTCTATGGCCCATCTCTTTTCTATAAAAGAACACCCTTTTAATTAAAATGTCCCTTAAAATATTATAATTAAGAAAAAACTTTAATTTTAATAGATGCTCATGATAAAAAAGAAAAAAACCCCACCAATATTGAAGAATCAAAAGTGAAAGAAACATCACCCTCCAAAACAGAAAGGAAAACCTGAGCGCCAAAACTAAATCAAAACGAAGTATTTTTTTATCTGCTGAGAACTCAAGTTAATAATTTACTTTAAGGAATTTTTTTTTGTAACCATCAGAGACTTTCTATAGCACATCTTTTTTTTTTTTCAGCTGGAGTGGGAAGTTTGGGGGAAGCTAGCAGGGGGAAAAATAGAACAAGAGAGCAGTGAGGTGCATTTCCAGCACCCAAGAAGCAACGTCCCCTGAACTGCTCAGAACGGCGAGGAGGACGGGGGTGTGGCAAACATCAAAAAAATCTTTTGCCTAAAATGCGAATTCTCTCTTCTGCACACTCGGCTTATCTGGGGTCAGAATTCCAACCACACATTATTCCCTGAAGAAATGGAACGCTGAGTGAGCCGTGGCATTATTCCCCTAGACTCTGTGTAAGAATACATTAAGGAAAAAGGTTCAGTCCTCATGACAGGGTGGTGACGACAGAGCAAACAGACCACGGAGCAGAACAGAGACCCCAGGAACAGAATCTCACACCAACAGCCCCTTGATTTATAACAAAGACACAGCAAAACGCAGTGGGGAAAGCACAGCCTTATGTACAAGTGACCCCCGGTCAATGGGATATCCTTGTGGGAGATCCATGACACTTGACAGACAGCAATTCAGATAGATTACAGGTCTCAAATACAACATAAAACTCAGCGGTCCATCAGCTACAGAAGGAATAAAGCGTGCGATATTCACACAATGGAATATGACATAGAAATAAAAAAGGATTAACTACAATGGGCAACAATATGCAGGAATCCCACAGACACAATATTAAAATAAGGTGAGTACAAAACAAACAAAAAATAATACAATTCCATATACATAAAGTTTAAGAAGAAGCAAAATGAATCTATGGCGATAGAAGCCAGAAGAACAGTTGTCCTCGGCAGGGAGTCTGTATTTCAGGGAGTTCAGGGGACTCTCCTGGGGTGCTGTGCATGTTTTATACCCTGATTTGTGTTATGATTAGGTGAACATATGCATAACTAAAAACTCACTATGCTAGACATTCAAGATCTGTGAACTTTACTGTACGCACATGATACCTCAATTTAAAAAATCTTTACTGGATTTAGTAAACTGTCATAAATGAATAATAACATTACAAAATTATCTCCAGGCATGTTAAGACCAGAGAAAACCAGACAATAGAAACAGGCCTGTAAGTCAGGAGTTGGCAACATTTTTCTACAAATGGCCAGACAGTAATTATTTTAGGTTTTGCAGGCTACACAGAGTCTCAGTTGCAAACCATTTTACAATAGTTAAAAAATACAGAAACTGTTTTTTAAATTAATTTATTTATTTTGGGGGGAAGTTAGTTAAGTTTATTTATTTTAATGGAGGTACTGGGGATTGAACCCAGGACCTCGTGCATGCAAGGCGCACACTCTACCCCTGAGCTATAGCTCCCCCAACTCAGATCCTACAGATCTTAAAAGGATATTAAAGGGATATAGGAAATAATTTTTGTCCTTATATTAGACAACTTAAACAAAACATTTCCTTGAAAGGCACAAACTCCCAACGCTTCTGCAAGACACCTACAACCAAAGGAGATACAATTAATTTACCTTATTATATGTTTGATTTGTAGTAAGATACTGCTTTCCAGGGTAATGTTCAAAGCACTGGTCAGGTACCGATTAAACTCCTCGAAGAACATTTCGTTCCCTTCTTCATACTTTCCGTAGTTCTTTGAGTACTCCTTCTGAATGCAGTGATTGGTCAAGTGGCAGGTTTTGTCCTGGAAGTTATCCGTGTGGTACGGCTCGGAAGCAGTCCGAAGCACACCCTCTCTGTAGAGGTAGATATTATACTGATGATCCACCAAGACCCAGCTTCTGCAAGTCAATCAAAATACCAGTTTATTCGGGTTACCCCAAGTTTCTCCGTATTATATATATCATTCCCCACCCTGTGATTTTTCTGGGAGGAAACAGAGCAAGGAGGTAGGTTCAAAAATTAAGACAAGGCAGGCGATGACAAGACAGTGGATTATCCCTGTAAGGGGGCAAACAAAACATTTCACCATAAATGACAAGGAAGACTTTGAACATTCAAAAGACACACCATTTTGAAGAGATGAGTGGTTTGGCTTTTATGTTTAATCTATGAAACCCCCAGTTGGCGTGTTTGCTCTTTTAGTAATCTTAAGACTGTTTCTGTTGAAGCTGATCTGACAGGACTGGTGTTCAAGAGCAGCAGGTCAATATGAAGGCGTCAAGGTGACAAAAAGTCCTCACTGGGGAGGTGACAGCAAGGCCAAGAGCAAGGTAGGGCCGGGGCTGCTCAGCTTTCGAAAGCGCCACAAAACCTCTTTCTCCTTGCCAGGTCCTTCGCTCAGAAGGTTAAAGTCCAAAACCCTGAGGTGTGTTCATGAAACCCTTAAAATGTGGGACACACATCATAAAATGATGACACAGTCTTCGCAGGGTCACACGATCTGCTGTGTCTGGGTCATGTGTTCTGTCTGTCCCTCTGCTTCTTTCATAAGCAAGCCCCACACAGCGATACCCATCTCTCGGGATCCGCAAGTCATCTTCATTAGAGAGAATATTTAAAAAAAGAAAAGAAAAGAAAGAAAATGCATCATCTTAGTAACCTTTTCTAGAAAGACAAGAGAAATGGTGAAAGAAAAACAGAAAATTAGGTACAGAAGCTCAGTTCCATCTAGCTGCACTCAACTCGGGCAACATTTAAAAAACAATTTATTTATTTATTGTTGTTATTATTTAATTATTTTTTTTATTTTGGGGAGGAGGTAATTAGGTTTATTTTTAGAGGGGGTACTGGGGGTTGAACCCAGGACCTCGTGCATGCTCAGCATGTGCTCTACCACTTGAGCTATACCCTCCCCCACTGGTAATGTATTAAACATGGTCAAATACTTCCTCACGCTCCACATCAGACCCCTCATCACACACCACTGCTTTGTTTTCAGATTAGTGAAACAAAAGCTCCGGGCACGGGTGCATTACCGAATGTCAAACTTGCGATGACCTGGCTCCAGAAGCAGAGGGTGCTCAAGGTATTTCTGGATCACGTGCACCTGGCCCTGGTTGTCTATGAAGTCCAGCAGCTCTGCAGCGTCCGAGGAGATGAGGATGCCTTCACCTACCAGGGCAAAATCAAAACGGAATCAGTCCAGCTCATCCTAAGCGGAAAAGCTCTCTGCAAAGCCAGAAAGGGAACACTGACAGCAGGTAGACCTGGACAGAACGCTGTCCCTGGCCTGCTCACTTTTCTTTCTGCGTCCCTTCCTTCCTCCAGTGGCTTACACAAGAGCACCAGGGTTATCCAACTCTCTCTCCATGTAGGGCTGCAAACACTGTCATGGCAGGTTCCAAGCAGGAAATTTCATGTTTATGGATATTCAAAGTGTCTGAGCACCCTAAATCCATGCTGCTTTACTAATGGTCACTGGCTCCCACTGTAAAGGCTGTATGCTGCTTATGACCAGTTAACCCCACTTGTAACACTGTATCTTACAGAAATACCAGGTAGGTTAGGGCATAAAGACAAATGGACAAGAACATTCCTGCAGCACTGTAATAGTAAAAGGCTGGACAGATTCAAAGCATCCATCAACATTAGATAAATGATACAATGTTGGGGGGGAGGGTATAGCTCAAGTGGTAGACCACATGCTTAGCATCCACAAGGTCCTGGGTTCGATCCCCAGGACTTCCTCTAGAAATAAATAGGTAAACCTAATTACCTCCCCCCCTAAAAAATGAAAAAAAAAATTAAATGATACAGTATCTTTTTAAACAGTTTTGAGATCTATTTTACATACTATAAAATGTATCCTTTTAAAATTGCAAAGTTCAATGGTTTTTAGTGTATTTAATAAGAGTTTTCCAACTATCCCTACAGTCTAATTTTAGAACATTTTCATCATCTTCCCCCCAAACCTCATACCCATTAGGCAGTCACTCCCCATTCCTTCCTCACCCCAGCCCCTGAGGACCACTAACCTACTTCCTGTCTCTGCAGGTTTGTCTTTTCTAGATGTTTCATATAAACGGAAGCAGACAGTATGGGGCCCCTTCTGGTCTGGTTCTTTCATTTAGCACAGCGTTTTTAAGCTTCATGTTGCAGCACGTATCAGCACTTCATTCCTCCTTCCCAGGACTGAATAATATTCCATTGTGTGGCTATATCACATTTTGTTCAGTCAATCAACTGATGGACATTTGGGTTGTCTGGCTCTTATGAATAATGCTAATTTGCAATGAATTTTTTGTGTGGACGTATGTTTTCAATTTTCTTGGAAATATACCTAAGAGTGGAATAGCTGGGTCATACGGTAACCGTTTAACTCTTTAAAGAATGACCAAACTGTTTTCCCAAATGGCTACACTATTTTACATCCCCACAAGCAATGTACAAGAGTTCCAATTTCTTCACATCCTTGCCCACACACGTTATATTCTGTCTTCTTGACTATAGCCAAGCTGGTGGGTGTGAGTGAGGTAGTGTATGATCATGGTTTTGGCTTGCATTTCTCTAATGACTAGTAGTGTTGAGCACGTTTTCATGTGCTTATTGGCTATTTGTCCTTTTTCTTGTTTTGGGAAATATCTATTTAGATTCTTTGCTCGTTTCTTAACTGGTTATTTGTCCTTATTACTGAGTTATAAGTGTTATACAATCTGGATACAGGTACCTTATAGACATACGATTTGTAAATATCTTCTCTAATTCTGAACTGTTCCATTATTGCACAGAACCCTCATGTTGCCCTTTCAAAGCCACAAGAACCTCCCTCCACATCACCCCTCCCCAAGCCCTGGTAGCCGCTAATCCATTTTCCATTTCTGTAATTTTTGTCATTTCAAAAATGTTATATAAGTAGAATTACACAGTGTGTGCTCCTTGGAAGTTGTTTTCTTCACTGATAATTCCCTGGAAATTCATCCAAGTTGTTGCATTTATTAATGGCTCATTCTCTTTTACTGCTGTGTAGTATCTCATGGGATCAATTCCCCCTAGCTTGTGTCATCATTGAGCTGTTGCAGGACATTTGAGTTGTTCCCAGTTTGGGCCATTACAAATAGAGCATCTGTGAACAACCGCGTACTGGTTTGTGTGTGAACGGAAGTTTTCGTTTCTCTGGGGCAAATGAATATGTAATTTTGGGGGCGAATGATTATCACAGGTTTAACTGTATAAGAACTTGTCAAACTGTTTCCCAGAGTGGCTGCACCAATTTCAATTCCCATCAGCACTGAAAGACTGATCCAGTTTCTCCTGACCCTTGCCAGCGTTTGCTGTTGTTACCATTTCTTATTTTAGCCATCTTAACAGGAGTGCAATACAGCCCACTGTGGTTTTAATTTGCATTTCCCGAATGGTTAATGACATTGAAAATCTTTTCATTTGCTTATTTTTCATCTGTAGAGCCTTTTCAATGCTTTCATGTCTTCTGCCCATTCTCTAATTCGATTGCCCCCCTTTGCCTCTTTCTTAAACTGTTGAACTTTGAACGCTATGTATATATTCTACATATGAGTCCTTTTTCAGACACACAGCTTGAAAATATTTTCTCCCAGTCCGTAGCTTATCTTCTCATCCTCTTGGCTAGGTCCTTCACAGAACAGAAGTTTTCATTTTGATGAGGTGCAATTGATCAATTTTTACTATTGTGGATCATACGTTTGGTGTCAAGTTTAAGAACTCTCTGCCTAGCATTATCTCCTATTTTTTTCCCAAAAAATTATAATTTTACATTTTATATTTAAGCCCATGATCCATTTTGAGTTAGTTTTTGTATAAGGTGTGAGGTTTAGGTTGAAGTTCTTTTTTTTTTTTTTAGTTTATGGATATCCATCTGCTCCAGCATCATTTGTACATAGTCCAGCCTTCCTCTTCTGAACTGCTTCTGCATCACTGTCAAAAATAGGTGGTTATATGTGTGTGGGTCTCTCTGTCCTGCCGATTCACATTTCTGTTCCCTCCACCAACACCACAGTGTACTGATTACTGAAACTTTACAGTACACTTTGGGATTAGGGACAGTGATTTTTTTCCCCCTTTACTCTTCTTTTTCAATATTATTTAAGCTATTTTAGGGCCTGTGCCTTTCCATATGAATTTCAGAAGAAGCTGTATGTCTACAGAAAAACGTGCTCACGTCTTGATAGCAGTCACTTCAAAACTACAGACCAATCTGGGGTGAAGTGACATCTTCACTATGTTGAGTCTTGCAATCCATGAACATGGTATGTCTGTCCATTTATTTAGGTCCTCTTTGACTTCCTTCACAGTTGCTTTGTCATTTTCAACATATACACCCTGTACATGTTTTGGTAAGTTTACATCGAAGCATCTCATTTTCTTTGGGGTGACTGTGATTAGTATCGTAAAATTTCGGTTTTCACATGTTCATTGTTAGTATGAATTGAAAAAGAATGTGAGATGAGTTTGATTGAACCTGTCTTTGCCTGTACATAAAGGAAAGTAATATGAAAAAATAAAAATAATTCTGTTAGGAAATAAGACTATGGTTAACTTTTCCATTTCCCTCTAATGTCATGTGTTTTCAAGGATAATTTTTTTTAATTATAAAAATGTATGTATCTCCTTACTTTCTTCCCATTATTTTCTCATCTATCAACCAGCATTAGAGATATTATTTTCAATAAGAAATAGCTTACATAAGGAAATTGCATGAAGAAAATAAGGTTGGAACATACAGGAAGGAATGTGACCAGACTGTGGAGAGCAAGGCATCAACAGGTGACAGAGACAGAAATGCAATTGATTTTTGTGTGTTGATCTCATACCCTACAATGTTGCTGGACTCACTTTTTATTTCTAGGATCTCCTACCTATGCTTTAGATTCATAGCATATCTCTACTTGGGTCTCATGCTTAATTCAGTACAAATTAGTTCATTAATTTAATGATTCATCTTTCCTAAAAGCCAACCCCTTTTACAACTACCCCATTTCTGTCACATTTGGTTAGCCTTTTAAACAAGAAACAGCAAACCAATTTGGAAAAGTTCCCTTCCTCTCCTTTTGTAATGAACATAATTCAATTCCATTTCATCTCTCTTAGGAACCACACTCAGATTCCCTGGTCACTCTTTACTTCCACCTACCAACTCTTCAGTACAGACCTCAGTCTCTCCTCCGGCACAGCACCTTGCATACTGCTTCTAGAATAATCATCCTAGAATAAACATCATTTTCCTACTAATGCCCTGAAACTTCCCCATAGTCTTATTTCCTAACATAATTATTTTCATTTTTTTCATAGTACTTTCCTTTATGGGCAATGGAACACTACTCAGGCAAAGGCAGGTTCAATCACAGTGAACTCATCTCATATTCTTTCACTTCATATTGCGAATATTTTTCACTGTTTCAATACTAACTTCACATTTATGTTACTGACCAAAGAAATATCCCATTGTGTGGATATAAAAGATTACATGTGTTTACTGATTGCTGGACAACAGGGATGTTTCTAAATAAAATTTTGCTATTACAGATAACATAGTGGCAAATGTCTTTGCTGTAGGTCACCTTTGTTTCTTTTAAAATATTTCCCTGGAGTAAGTTTTCAGGAATGAGATGAGTGGGTCAAAATATATGAATTCTTTACAACTCTTGCTCTGTGTCACCCTACTGCTTCTTCAAAGGAATGTGTACCACTAAGAGGGAGCAGCTCACAAGCTTTCAGCAACAATTATCACTAAAGGGTTTTGTTTTCTTATTTTGTAGATGTAAAATGATACATAAACCCCACATTTATTTTGCAAGTTTTGGACACTAGTGTAGCATGTTTCCATGTGTTTGTTAGCTGTATTTCTCATATGATTTGTTATATTCTCATTAACTAAACCTGGAGGGTGTTTGTTTATATCCCCACTAAATTATGTAGGAAGTTTGGGGTTCATCAAGGAGCTTCGAGGTCACAGTCACTGTGTTTTTTTTGTTCTCTGTTCCCATCTCAACTTTTAGTTTATCTGGAAACAGATACACCTTCTTTCAGACTAGATTGTGGGTCCATGAAGGCAAGAGAATCGTGTCTGTCTCATTTATCTCTGTATCTCCAAACATTCATTACTTTTCTTATTCACTCATTCCTTCATTCACCCACTCACTACACACACTGAACCTCTGCTGCATGCCAGGTGTTGTCCTGGCCCCAGAGAGACAGATGTCACACGGTCTGATTGGGCTTTAACAGGATCTCTGTCTACTCTATTCTGTGTAGACTCTGGAGAACGGCCAAGGACAGGAAGACAGGGAGCAATGCTCCTGGTGAGAGGCGAACGTGACTCAGATCTAAGATGGGAGGTGGAGGTGGTGAACAGTAGCTTAATACTGCACACAGTGTAGTACAGTTAAGCCAACTATACCCAGCATGTAGCAGGTACTAAATATTTGTTTAATAAGAATAAAAGTCATTTACTCAGCCTACTGTTTTTTATTTATTGGAGGGGGAGATTAGGTTTATTTACTTATTTATTTTTTAAGTGGAGGTACTGGGGATTGAGCTCAAGACCTCATGCATGCTAAGCATACACTCTACCACTGAGCTGTACCCTCTCCTCCAGCCTATTGGCTTTATTTTGTAATTCCCAAAGAAAACAAATCCACACCACTTATACCCTCAACTCCTAAAGTAAAATGTCTTCTTTGTTTGGCATTATAATTTCTCTTTACCTCTCTCTACTGCTGAGCATCACTCTGTCTCGTGTTGGTGACAGTCCAGAGACCACCCAGGTGGGATCACTGCTGTGACTTGGCAGGTCTTCTGCCAAGGGTCCTGCCTCACTCCTGGTTCTCAACTCCATGACACAAGATGTCCTTACAGTGGCCACCCTGACTCCAGCCCCAATTCACAGGAAGAATCTGGAATACTGTGGAGGACTATTTCCTCTTTCAATGCCTCCATTTACTATTAGCACAAAGCTAGGGGACAGTCCTTGAGAAGAGGTCACAAAAAGGGAGAGAGCACTAGGTAAGGCACATGGCTTATGGCAAAAGCCCAACTCTCCCACTTCCAGGAGATTCCAGGTGATGCCCTCCTGTCTCATGGCTGGTGGAAAAGAAGGTGAGGCCCACTGGACCAATGGTCAGATGGCCTTCCAAGGCAATAAAAGAAGAACTAAGTTCAAATGGAATGGTTTTTAAAAAGAGCACCTAGAGGGTTGGGTATAGCTCAGTGGTAGAGTGCATGCCTAGCATGCATGAGGTCCTGGGTTCAGTCTCCAGTACTTCCCTTAAATAAACAAACAAATAAACCTAATTACTACCCCGCAAAACAAACAAACAAACAAAAGAGCATCTGATGGTAGTTATAGACAGAAACTATGTTATGTGTTCATTACACTGGGAACAGCCTAGACTTTAAGCCTGAGTTAATATTACATACCTTTTGCCTTCTACGCATTCATTCAGCACGCATTTATTAAGTGCCCATGGGGAGGGTACAGAGATGAACAAGACAGAAAGTCTGTGTATATATGGAGCTTGCAGGATTATGGGGGAGATGAACAGATGAACAAACATGTAACAGAGGGCTGGGAAGAGGTTCATGCAAGCAGGGAAAATAAAGCAGGGTAAAGGACAGAAAGCAAAGGGCACAGGGGCTATTTTAGACCAGAAAAGCCTTCCTGACAAGGCAACATCTGAGCTGAGAAACAGAAAATCGTCCACGAAAGTGCATTCCAGGGACAGAGACAGATTTAGAGCATCTGAGGGATGCTAGGACGGCGCTGTGGCCCCAGCACAGTGAGCAAAGCCAAAAATAGGGGATGAGATCAGAGCTACGGACAAATGTCAAGTGGTGTAGACTTCCAGCAGGACTCCGGAGTTTATTCTAAGTGCCTTGGGAAGCCAGCTGCTAAGTCTCCAGCAGGGAGTAACAGGATCACGTTTGTGTTTCTGAAACCTCACCCTGCCCGGGAGCAGAACTGCTAGGAGCAGGTGCTGCAGCGGCACAGATTTGAGAGAACAAGTGAGATCCATGGAAATGGCACGAAAAAGTCTGCTTCAGACTGTGTTGTGAAAGCGGAGTCAGCAAGACTTGCTGATGCACTCGGCATAGACGGTCAAGGGAAGAGCAGCCACGGATGACTTGCAGGGCTGGGGCATCAGAGCCCTGGTGAAGGGCGGGACCGTGCACTACATGGGAAGGTGGGAAGCCGAGCAGGCTGGGTGGGCAGAGTTGGGAAGGAAATGAATTCTAGCTCAGACATGTTAAGAGTAAAATGCCTGCCGTAGGATCTGGAGCAAAGGGAAAAACTTCAGCTGCAGATACACAGTTCTAAGTCTTCAGAACGTAGATATACAAAACTACATAACTAGACGTGGTCTCTGCCCTAGAGGATTCAGATGAGAGTAGTCACTCATGGAAAGGCATCATTCAAATCTAACAAGTGACCAAACAAAGCACAGCGGGAACCTCCAGGAAGAGAGAAGGGGCAGCAGTGCCACCTCACCTTTGGCACCGGCGGATGACTTTGCGATCCAAACGTTGCCCTCTCCATCTTCTTTCTTTCTGTTATAAGAAGCCAAGAAAAACTCTCTTTCGTCTGTTCTTGAGCTATGGATCGGGGGGTGGATTCCATTCTGAGCTGGAGCAACTGGGGTCTTGAGATTAGTTGGATAAATCACATAGGACTCAGGGAACCACGTGCAGGACTCGGCCAGTTCTGGGCTTGTCTTGATGAGCCTGGAAGATGATAGAGGGTCAGTCTCTGTTCTGTACACTCTGTCACTGTATTCGGAAAGGATGGCGCTTTTTCCCCAGAGCTCTCCGAGGAGGCAGGGCGTGGCCTGGGGCAGGAGCTGGTCTCTCTGCTCTTGGCCTCCCTGGGCCGACCTCCACTGCACCACTGCAGCTGTCCTGTGTGACCTTACAGGCACGCTCCCGTCAGTTAATTCAAAAGGGGCTTAATACCCAGAACTATAGCTCCTTTAAAAATGCATCTCTAAGGGAACTTAACTAGAAGTCATCCTGAGCCAACATCTTTTCAACAAATATGCTGTAGCTGAGCTAGACCCACATTAAAAAAATGCAGTGGAGAGCTGGGAAAATTATTCGGATGACTAGCAAAAGTACTATCTCGGCCCAACGCTGGAGACAAGAGGCTAATACTTAGGAATCGGAGTTCTCTAACGACTTATTTTAGTTCTTCATTTCTTGCTTTTAGCTCAGCCTGGCTTCAGCGACAGAATAAGGAAGAATCTTTCTAACAGGACAGGGGGCTCCAGTGCTCATCACTAAACACACTTCCTGTCCACATACCACCCTCACCCCCAATAACATTACACAACAGAAGATAAAGTCAGGCCCTGAGCAGGCACTTAATAAACACACAGGCTTATCAGGGCTTCCCACCACATCTCCTGGGGAATCAGACCCCTGGGGGAGGCCAACAGCATCACATTTCAAAGATGACGCACTGGGTCACAGAGAAGAACACTTCCCAAGATCACAAAGATAGGAAGAAACAGGAAGGATGCAAGCCCTGAACTCCAAGTCCGAACACCAACCTTACCCTTGCTCCCTAGGAATCAGAGGAGGGAGGAACCCACCCGGAGACATCCAAGGCCTTCCCTGAGCTACGCACCCTCTTCTGTCCAGAACAGAACCGGTAAAGCCTGGGTTATGACTCACTTGCAAAACCCAGCCTATGAGTGAATGGCAGAAATAAAGAAAAGAAATTATAAATTGAGATATTTTTAAAGTTATTTTTAAGTTAAAGGTGATAGAATTTAACTTAAGGGACTCAGAGAGACAAAAAAAAATCCCAGTAAGCCCAGATTTTAACCCAACCTAGCTGAAGTACTGCCTGCCATGATAAAAACTGACTTTTCACATGTAGGTGAAATTCCTCTTTGACAGACGTGAAAGATTAAAAAAGGAAAATTATTTTTCGGTATTTAATTCAGTTACTGAAAAACTTGACTTGGGTATGTAACTCTACTTTTCAACCATAGATTTTTATGAAATTTTAAATACAGATTCAGCGTTTCCAATGAAAATGTAGTGTCTGAGTTAAGATACGTTATAAAAACGTTAGACACTATATATAAAAATAGATTTTAAAAAGTTTCTTCTGTACAGCACAGGGAACTATATTCAATGTCTTGTAATAACCTTTAATGAAAGAGAATATGAAAACAAATACATGTCTGTATATGCATGACTGGGACATTGTGCTGTACATCAGAAACTGACACATTGTAATTGGCTGTACTTCAAATAAATACATACATAAACAATAAAAATGCAGTTTGAATTAAAAAAAAAAAGATGGGCTATAAGCGTAAAATACACACCAGATTTTGAAGACTCGGAATGAAAAAAGAAGAATCTCTCTCATTAGCTGTTTTTTATATTAATTCCATGTCAAAATGACATCTTAGATTTATTTGGGTAAATAAAATATATTATTAAAATAAACTGCACCATCTTGGGGTACTTATTTAAAATTACACATGTGGCTAGCATTCGGTTTCAGCTGGACAGCTGGTCAATAGGATGCCCTTCATCTGGAAGCCTCATTTCCTGCACAGAACCAAGTCCAGTTTCTGTAGGAAGTCCCAGACATTCCTTCCATTTCCTCACAGGCCCATTGGAGAAGCCCTTGCAAATGGAGGTTTAGTCACACATACAAGGGAGACACTCACAAAAGGAAAAGAAAGCCTCCAGGTTGGGCCAGAAGGACAGCTCTTCAGGCCATGGGGCCTTGATGAATTTCTGAAACTCCCTGAAGTGACAGGCACTTGCTGTACAGGGTCCAGCACAGAACACTAACGAGGCTCTGGGAAGCCCCCCGAGGGGCGCCCAGTCACACTGCCCACGGGCTCCATTTGTACAGATGAGAACCGTCCTTACTTAACACTAACTGCCATGACTACGGGCAACCCGGCTGTCTTCTCTGAGCTGCCACTTGAGATGACATTGTCGTACAAAAGAGAGACAAAACAACAAAGGAAGCCATCACCCCCCAGAATGACTACTGCCCCTCGCAGGACACTGGACAGGACGAAGGAAGCTAAGAGAGTGGTGATCACCACACCACCCCCAGGCCTGCATAAGTCATGTCACCATTTATAAGGTGCACGTCACATGCCACGGAGGGACAGAGTCCCCAAAGATGGACCCTTGGGATTCCGAGTGGCACTGTTCAAGGTCACAAACGTTGCGATACCTTCTAGACTCCAGCTCTGTACTTTTTCCACCTTATTGTAGGTGCCAAATACACAAATATAGAGAATCTGACTTTTCACACCCCCTCTGCTTTCTATTTCAAAAACAAAATTTTACCTTTACCTTTAGGGGAAAAAAATCATCATGGAATAAAGAATGAGTAAGCATTTTATAAAAATTTCTAAACAAATAATCTGGGTAAATAACCATGTCCCAACTCTACTCCTAGTTCTGGTGAAACAGCTGTCTGCACTCGAAACATGTAAGTATGTTATAAGAAGATTTCAGAAAGCCTCATTCTCCTTTAAGAGTAGCTCATCCCAGAGAGAAGTGAACACATGAGTCACAGGAGCAGTGAGTCTAAACAAAACGGTGGGAATATGCCTATGAACACTCAGCCCAGCAAGCTACTAGAGCCCAGAGGGCAGTGTGAGTGGGGAAAAGAGCAAATGCATTGAGTCGCATCTTCCAGTGTCTTCTTACCTAAACGATTTGTTTGGCTACATACAAGTGCTCGCAAGTCAACATGGAGGGAACACTGGACACCTGACTTTAGGGGCCATACCCACCCTTCAATTCTACAGCGTGAACTAGGACACACACATTATTCCAAGGCTTTCCGTAAATTAACTCAATTAATTCTCACCACAACCCTGGGGTAGTTACTATTATTATCCCCATTTTACAGATAAGGAAACTAAGGCACAGAGTCAAATGCCCACTGTACCACATGAATCACCTTATTCAATCCCCACAGCCTCTTTATGAGGGACATACTGAGGCTTCGTGGGATCAGAAAATTTGCACAAGCTAGTAAGAAGAGCTGAAATTAAAACCCAAGCTGCCGATCCTAGATCTTAATCACTGTGTAACGCTGCTTCCTTCCACCTATGACACTGTTCCTACGGCACCTAGTTGTAAGCCGACTGTTCAGAGATGGGCGGCACAGCAGATACGGTTACATTCTGCCCAGGTGTCCTTCTGAGGGGACCCCTGGCTGCTCGGAGAGTTGGCTGCCAAGGGCTCATGCACACCCAGGGACCAGCCTCTGCCAGAAATGCCAGGGAAACCATGTCCTCTACTGCCCCCTACAGCCAATGGCTGAGTGATGCTGAAGCACAGAGTATCAAGGGACTACTCTGGGTGCCCTGCACTCCCAAGCCCCGTGGAGTCAGGCTGAGGCGAGACTCCAGCTGAAACCAAGTCTTTGCTTGGTTTCTTCCTTGGCTGCCCTGTCCTTGGTTCTGAACGAGTTTCTCCTGAGAGCCCTCCCCCCATAAATCACTTACGCAAGAAGCCCTGTCTCAGGCTCTGCTTTGGGGAGCCTCATCCAAGACACCACGTATCTGCAGCAAAGTGTGGATGGCAATCAAAGGACTGACACTCGCTGGTTTTTAAAATAAAAGGATTTCTGCCCTTTAAAAACAAGCCTACATTTTTGCTTAAGTTGCTTCAGTATGAAAGCTAAAAACGGTTCAGTAGAAAATGGAAAACAGGTCTTAAAGAACACTTACTTCACTAAAGAAGCTTTGCGACACAGTTTGTCAGCCCCTCTGTAGTAATTCACCAACTGCATCAACCCAGGCTCATGACCTGTGAAGGAGAGAGGAGGCTCAGGAGGGAGACAGGGTGGTGGGAATGGACAACATCAGCACCAGCACACAGAGCGAGAGCCGGGTGTCACACCCAGCTCTTCTTTCCCATTTCACGACTGGTTGTTAGGATGGGAGAAATTCTGTTGCTTTGCACATCCAACTGGCAATTCTCACCCTCCCATGAGTGGGTGTTATGATAACTGCATCACAGGTCTGCTAAGGACCTCTGCTGCCCTTGTTTTTATTTCTTAGGGTGGAAGAGCATTTTCAGTTTTGCCCCTCCTTGATCCCTATTGCACCTACGGTACAGGACATCTCCTTGCGTTTCACCCAGTGTACTTTAAGCCAAAGGTAAATATTCCCAACAGTGAAAGCACATAGCCGTTTGGTTGTGGGATTCTGTCTTCCTTCCCACAAAAACCAACTGTTTCCTGATCATTTGGCTGACTTCATGGTAACTGTTTAGGATTTGGACCCTCTAGGATTCTGCTCCTACACCCTAATCCTGAGCCTCACTGCAGTGCCAACCACCCCTGCTTCAGCCCCCACAGAGCCATTTTGGTCATCTTTTAATGTTAGGATTCCACCTAAGCTTTTACAGCCAGGCACTGCCCAGTCCAAAGAGGAAAGTAAGTCAGGCAGGGAAGCAGACAGACCAAGGAGGAAATAAATGTTTTCAACTATAAGCAGGTTTTCTTCTTTTAGGGAAGGTATACTTGCTGAAGGCTTCCTGGGGAGACAGCTGAACAAAAGGAATCTCTAGGTACATTCTGTCTCTTCCAAGATTTCTGGAGGTTGGACTCAACCCTTCTGCAGGGTCTCCATCATACATTATAAACTTGCATAACAATAAGGAGTGGTCCATGGACCCATCCCGAAGAAAAAATTTCAGTAAGGCTATGCTGAAACCCTCTTCATTCCTCAAATCGTCACAATTCTACAGGCTCCCACCCAACTGCCCTCTCTCTCTCTAAGCTCACCAAGGGCTAGTCAGTTCCAAACCGCCTACTTTCAGTCTTTGCCTGTTCACCCTCCCCACCCTCTGACCACACCTATTTCTAAAAACTCTTCTCTCCTGGACGCAGAACACTGCTCTTTCTGGGATGCTCTCCAAGGCAAAGATGACTTTTCTTCATGACGGATTCTCCCCTTCTGTCTTTGGCCATAGGACTGGGTCCCCACCCCAGGGGAATTTTGGCAGGGAACATGGCTACCCCGAGTGAGGCTGCGATTCCCGGATGACTGTGCAGTGAGGAGAGGCCATGAGACTATGCTCAGGTCAATGAGATGTAAGTTGAAGGGATCTGCACAACTTCTGGATTACGTCATCTAAAAAGGAGCGACTGGTCCTCTCCTTCCCCTTGCCCCTTCCTACAGGAGATGTAGATGTCGTGGTGCAGCTTCAACCACGGGAAAGAAGGGAACTCCCTCGGGGAGGGGAGGGGAGGGCAGAGAATCCACTGTCATGTGAAATCTGCATCCAACGCACCACTGCGAGAACGTGTTCTTTGGTGAAGCTAAGGGAAGGTCTAAACTCAGACACCCTTCCGCCTTTCCCTGGGCTCACTGCTGAAGCTCCTGCTTTCAGAATCCAGAGGTCTTTTCCAGGTCCCCTGACAGTTTATCTAAGCCTTCGGGCAGCTCAATCCTCAGGGTTTTCAACACACACAAGCATCCCTCCCGCGCCAACACAAGCAGGGCGGGATCCTCAGTGGAGAAAATTTGCAAGGTGACTCCTGCCTGATGGCAGCTGCCGGCTCCGGGGAGCCTCGCTCGGCCCGGCGATCCGCCCAGCGGACCTGCCCGATTTGGGGGCGTCGGACCCGCGGAATCCGGGGAACGCGCGGCCTCAGCTCCCCGCCGCGGGGCTGCCGGGACCGGTCATTGTCGGGAAGCAGCCGCGGCCCCGGGAGCTCGCACCGCCACTCCCGCCCCGAATCAGACTTAGGAGACAAGAAAGCATGAAAAACGATGGGTTTAGACCTTTAGGGGC